GAAACAGGGCATGACGATGTGAGATGGAATCAAAACGTCTCACGGTACAGTCCAGTGACAGGCGCTTGTGAATACGGTAATGAACTTCCAAGAATTTTAATTTCTAAAAATCCACCAGCTTCTCAAGAAAGACTCATTCCACCAAGATAATTAATTAATTAATTAATAGAAAGAGGCTTCATATCACACGCACATAATGAAGTAGTGTCTAACAGCTGCTTTGTTCCACAGCCACTGTAAAAGTGAATGGCCTGGTAAAATCTAGTAATTGCAATAGTACCTTTATGCTAACTCCCTCAAGGTGAGTCCAGGGCCACAGGTTAAAATCGAGCATCATTTTTCTTAATCACAACAGCACTCATATTCTTGGAGCTCAAATATACATTATTATTTAAAAAGCTGTAACTTTATAATTACTTACGAAAAGTATTTATTAATATTCTTGTCGCTAATTTTAAATATTTTGTTATGAAGCTGTAAAATTACAAGTCAAAGCCCTTCTGTGCTATCAACCTGTTAATGAAAAGTGAAATAAATTACTGAATATTTTCCATCCTCCATTCTTAAATCTATGATCCCTTTAAATACAAAAATGTTTATGCAAATTTGGAAGTCACATCGGTACCACAAGATAGTGTCTTATAAAAATACGGAAGACAAATATGACTGACTGACAATCCACTTACATTTCACTGGCCCCTGTAATAGCCATAAGCCCGTTTATATTTATCAGCTTATTCACGATTTAAACTTTAGATTACTACAGACCCATTTGCTGGACTCATACTGGTCATTTAAATTACAATGAAGAAAAACCAGTCAGGTAAATGAATTCAGTAAGCTGTCTCTGTCACGAGTTAAGATTAATAGTAAGATGACAGTATTAGTAAATAATGACTTGCAAGGAAGCAATCATAGGCTAATAGAAAGTTCTATCCCCATTTGGCTGGAGAAGAGTCACGAAACTTCTTACTTTAATTAGCTGGTCCTCCAGCCGAGATTTGAACCCAGAGCCTGCCGAACACAACAGACAACTCGACCGCAACGTTTAGTTACAAAATCCGTAATTTTATTTTACGAATTTACAGGGCTTAAATTACAGGTAAACATGCATGTAGTAGCAAACAAATAGAAAGATGTACAGGGTGATTCAAGAAGGACTTTACAATTTTGAAAGTGTGTAGAAATTTATTCAGAAGGCTTACAGAATCGGTTGAGGTGTCATTTTGTAGCAAAACAAATCACGTTTTACCTCAAATAGTCATTTTGGTTCGATGTGATTGCCATTGGTGATACTGCAGACATCCAACCTGAAATCAATTTCTTGCCAAACACGATCCAGCATATCCGGTGTCACTTCTGAAACTGCGGCGGTGATTCGAGCTTTGAGCTCAGTGAGATTGGCAGGCGTTGATTTCGCTAGACTACGGACAAAGCTCTCACTCACTCGTTCCACAACAGCACTAGCAACACGCGGGCGACCTGGAGATTTGTCATGGCGAACAGAACAACCAGTCTCAATAAAAATTTTGTGCCAAGAGTAAATTGTAGGTCTACTGGGAGAATCCTTGCCATACTGGGTGCGAAAATTCCGTTGAACCATTCTCGCAGATTTGGTTTCTTCAAACCACAGCACACAGCGAGCGCGCTCCGCACCTGTGAAAGTAGCCATTTTCAAATACACTGCCGCTTGCGCTCGCGGTGACAGAATTCGGTACTACAGCACAACGTGAGTCAAACTTGATTTGTTTTGCTACAAAATGACACCTCAACCGATTCTGTAAGCCTTCTGAATAAATTTCTATACACTTTCAAAGTTGTAAAGTCCTTTTTGAATCACCCGGTATTATAGTGAATCCTAGGTAAGGACGAGAACAATGACCTCCTGGTTAAAAAAAGGTCTGTGAATTTAAAGAGTGTAACAATCTGAGTAAGCTGAAAGTAGGGCCTGTGTTAAAACAATGGAAGTCCTTACAATGGAAGGAAGTTTTAATTGTTTACGTTTGTTCTGGAGGACAAGTACTGTAATTGTGAATACCGAAACTTCAATGAGGAACAGAGTTGAAAATCAGGAACAGTAATGAGGAAGAGAACTTGAAGACCGAGCATCAATTGTCAAACTTCTTTATAATACTAATAATAACAAAACATTATTAATAATAAAATATCAATAATAATAGCACTCCTTTAATACATTTTAACCCTAAGAAGTGTCATAATTTGACAATAAAAGTTATTGTTTTTAATCATTAATGCCCTAAATTGGGGATACTTCGTGACACTTTAATGGCGATGATCTGACTCAGTTCCTTCTCAAACATTATCAGAAAAAGCCACATTAAACCTTCCACCACATTTATTTCTGAAGACACAATCGTAATAAAGTTGTCGTAATTGTACCGCGCGTGCGCAGAGGAAACTTTTTAACACAGAATTTCGTTAATTAAATCCGCAGTGTTCTGTATCCCCCAGAATGATTCCCGTGTTTATTGTTACTTTGTTAAAGGAAGAGAACACGAAAAAGGCTTTACTTTTATTTACTCATAAATGCATCACGACAAAAGAATTTAACAAACAAAATCACAAAACTGTTTCAGTTTGGAACACGAAATAATATTCTCAAGTTATTGACCTATATTCTCTGTCACCTCCAATCCTTCCCAGTTAACATCACTGCCCTTATATTTATAACATTTACTTCCATATTTGGGACAAACTTTACTTTACTTTACTTCCATATTTGTAAAATTTCCAACTTCAAAAGTAGCAATCGCATGGATTCCAGAAATTTTGCCTTCAAAATGAATACCGGACTTTTATGATGTTGAACGCTGTTTTCTTAACTCCAAAACTCCACTACATGAGCCATCATGTGGTTCTTCGTAAATACCTTCTTCATTTTCTGAGCTGACACATTCATTTGGTCTTCTAGGAGTCTTTCTCTGCCTACAGTAGATGTGTAAGGTTCAAACTCACTTAAGATCGAAGGCAAATTTTCTGAGATACTTCAGGGATGGGTATTTATCTTTTTTATTTGTCTATGTTCTTCAAGTCTCTTCGCGTCTTTTCTGAGGTGCTCGATAAATAATTTGCAGCCTCCTGCACTGTACAATTTTCTTCAGTCAAGCTGTTTTACCGGCTCAGTACCACACTTTTTAATCCAAACTTTAGATTCTTTGAACTATTCTCTTCTCGCTTTTCAACAGACATGGGAATTTGTCTTTGGGGACAGAAGAACACCGGCTTCCTACTACAGACTATTTCCGTTTAGCCAAAGTTCATTTCGTCGGACGGAAGAAAGTGTTAAACGCTTTTAAGCAAAGTGTGGTTGCGTAGGGAGGCATGAATATTTACTTAAAGCTGCTGAATGCCTTCTGTATTCAGGTGTGAGCTTAAATTGTCTCCAACGATGATCTTTAGACTGTTCTGGAGATTCTGTACTGGAGGAAGCAAGTTAAAAAGCCAGTCTTTATACGATTGGAAATAAAACCATTCAGAACTTGTCCGATTACGTCCTGCACCTGGAAGGTCATTCTCGGTCTGTAATTGCCACAAAATTTTAATGACGTAAAGGCTTTCGACTCTTGGCGGATTCTATTCAGGGTATTTGCTTCCCTTTTGGTTATAATTTTCTGATGCGTCAGACCACCCAAGTATTGCAGATCCACCTGCAAATTATTGAATAAATCGTTGATAATCTGCTCATGAGGTGAAGAAGCGACTCGTAAATGATTTTTTTTGGTACCATCGGGTCGGAGCCGACCCCTGGTGACATTATGAACAAGTTCCCTCTGATAAGGACCTGTTCATATGTTTCCTAGGCAGATGATCCAGAAGTGGTTTGCCATTGCCTTCTTCTGTGTGTGAATGGAGAAATTGTTGAGATGCCACGGAGAAACCGGGGAAGCCCCGGAGGATAACTCCGTGTTACCTGGACCACGGCCTTGCCCAACACAAGTTATAAATCCGGGCACCACCTGGAATCGAACCCGGGACCTCAGGATTACAATCCCAGCGTTCTGACCGTAAATGAATTCAAACAGTCAAAAGCGAGAAAGTCATATTTGACCGTTTTGTCAACGCGGTCTAAGCAAGCCGCAATGGAAAATCCAAATTTTGATATGGCTTTACCGAGTGCTACAAAGGAGTTTTCTTCCTCAGCGCTGAACACGGTTGGGCGACTAAGTTGCTGCAACAAGTGTCTCTATTCTTTCACACACACAAAATGTTGATTACTGACTCCTCTTCTGAGTTTCCATCAGCATCACAGGCATATTCGATCTCATCTTGCCAACAGCTTCCGCTAAGGTGACATCAATGTAATTTTTGTATGGATGTGATCCAATCATCCTTTCGTGCAGCCTTGGAACTTTATATAAATTACACTGAATAACAATATCTACAGATTTCTGAAATGCTATATATTGTTACAGCGTTAGGGGGGGATTTGTGACGTCGTAACTTCTAGCAAAATATTATCTCTTAAACTTGCAACATTTATTATTGTTTTCATAAAATATTTCAAGTGTCTGATTACAGGAAACCATTTTTAAAAAGTATACTCATCTTACAATTTGATGGCGGCTGCTATAATATTAATATACAAAACTTGATGGTGCAGTGGTGAGAAAACCTTCTTCGTATTCGGGAGGTCTCTGATCAGAATCTTTGTCAGAAGACCAATTATCTGAAAGGTTTCTCTGAGCTGTTCGTCATTTGACATTTTATAGCAGACTACTACCATCTTTGAAGTAGCCAGTTCATAAATATTTTGTCTATACCACTAAATAAATAAAATAAAAAATAATACCCCAAAAATCAATCCGCGAACGCCATAGATAGGAGATGCGTACATGCGGTTTCTAACAAGGAACTTGTAAGCAATGGAGGGCCTCGGTTGAATGTTAATGTGGTCCCCTCCCATTACCACATAGTTTTCCGAAGCGGTACCTGCGAGATGAAAGTGTCCACCAGCAACCACTTTGCGGTGAGTTGGTACCATGGCGTAGTGTACGTCCGCCCCGAAGAGTAGGTCAGGTTGGGAGTTGTGCTGCCAGCTATAAAACACAGGCTCACAGCGAGCTGAAGAACCAGTGATCGTTCAGTGAACACGTAGTGACAATGAGGAGCTTCATCATTGTGCTAGTAGCTGTTGCAGGAGGCGGTATGTAGAGTCACATTCAAATGTACAGGGTTCGCCGAATAACAATCATTTTCACGGTAAATTTAAAAAAAAAAATAGCGGGAAATGTGATAGTGGATATGATACGCGAGTGGCAGACTCTTTCTGTATTTTGAAGTGAAACATATTTTACAGTTCCTCAGGAGGAATACTGGACTTTTATCGGATTATTAGTGAATGTGTGAATACAAGACACGTATATCAAATTTTATATATATCGATAATTGTTTTTCGTATTACTGTATTATACTATTTCTTTTTCGCAAGAAAGTGAAAATTACTTTAAATCTTTACGCTAATATTAAAAAAGAGATAAGTATTCATTAATTAATAATCAGTCACGTTTATGTGAATCCAAATTACTTTATACATCTATTACATAGTTTATTTTATCTTTAAATTAAAAGCACGCGTTTATGATTTACACGTGTCAATCAAAAACTAGCGAAGATTACACTATTTATTTCGTACGCTAATTTATTTCCTTTATTTATTACCATCCCATGTATCTGTGGTTAGTGGATAAAGAATTACAAAATATGTAAATCGTTTAGTCAAATAAATCTTCTGCATTCTTTCCAATACTCCAGCTTTTACAGTAGTAATCTTTTACTATAATATATAAAATAAATAATACGTAAAATCTACAATTTTGATGCAGATAAATTTGACTTTATTTTAAACTATTTTATCATTTCGTAAATTTTACTTTTTTATTCTGAAGCACTACGTAAATGTGACACGGAATTACTAAAGCTTCGTAAAAATTTACAATTACAATTCCTTAACATATGGGACCATCCGGTCTGTAAGTATATGGACAGTGTTAATATTATTGAAAGTATTTTGGAATACAGAAGAAAAATAACAATATATTCAAGAAAACAATTTTAAGATAAGAACCGAATTTTAATTAAATCGGAGTGCGGTCTAATGTCGGCTTCTGTGTTACCTTATTTTTCGCTTTATACGGATAAAGAAAGAGAGAAACGAAGCATTGCATCGAAGTAGGCAACTCGGTCCATGTACTCGAGGAAGTAACTTAGTGTGCCAAGCAACAGAAAGTAGTAGGCAGGTGAGAGGCCGGCCAATTGGTGCGCTTTGGCGAAAGAGTGGCATATGTTTCGACAGAAACCCTCGTTCTCTGTTGTCTACGAAATATTCATAGAGGATTTATAAATAAAACAGACCCCTAAAGTCTTTGTAGTTATTCCATTATTTTATCTAAACTCAAGTTAAACCTCACGTTTTTGAGAAGAGAATATTTTTGTTCAATAAGTGGTCATTTCGGAAATATTTCAAACATAAATTTAACAAATAACGTAACAGTTTTGAGAAGAGAATATTTTTGTTCAATAAGTGGTCATTTCGGAAATATTTCAAACATAAATTTAACAAATAACGTAACAGTTTTGAGAAGAGAATATTTTTGTTCAATAAGTGGTCATTTCGGAAATATTTCAAACATAAATTTAACAAATAACGTAACAGTTTTGAGAAGAGAATATTTTTGTTCAATAAGTGGTCATTTCGGAAATATTTCAAACATAAATTTAACAAATAACGTAACAGTTTTGAGAAGAGAATATTTTTGTTCAATAAGTGGTCATTTCGGAAATATTTCAAACATAAATTTAACAAATAACGTAACAGTTTTGAGAAGAGAATATTTTTGTTCAATAAGTGGTCATTTCGGAAATATTTCAAACATAAATTTAACAAATAACGTAACAGTTTTGAGAAGAGAATATTTTTGTTCAATAAGTGGTCATTTCGGAAATATTTCAAACATAAATTTAACAAATAACGTAACAGTTTTGAGAAGAGAATATTTTTGTTCAATAAGTGGTCATTTCGGAAATATTTCAAACATAAATTTAACAAATAACGTAACAGTTTTGAGAAGAGAATATTTTTGTTCAATAAGTGGTCATTTCGGAAATATTTCAAACATAAATTTAACAAATAACGTAACAGTTTTGAGAAGAGAATATTTTTGTTCAATAAGTGGTCATTTCGGAAATATTTCAAACATAAATTTAACAAATAACGTAACAGTTTTGAGAAGAGAATATTTTTGTTCAATAAGTGGTCATTTCGGAAATATTTCAAACATAAATTTAACAAATAACGTAACAGTTTTGAGAAGAGAATATTTTTGTTCAATAAGTGGTCATTTCGGAAATATTTCAAACATAAATTTAACAAATAACGTAACAGTTTTGAGAAGAGAATATTTTTGTTCAATAAGTGGTCATTTCGGAAATATTTCAAACATAAATTTAACAAATAACGTAACATTATGAAGCACCTTAATTCTACGAACTGAACCAAACTGAATACAATACGTACCTAACAGACGTATCGGTGGGTTGGATTCAGCTGACTGAGAATAGAAACCATGGCGTGTTCTAGTGAATGTGGCAATGAATCTTAGTGTTCTATAAAAGACGAGGAATTTTACTAGCTAGGCGACTGTTAGCTTCTAAAAGTGTGATTAATTATTATTATAATTATATTTAGTATTATTATTAATGTACGGGAGTCTCCTCCACCCCTCCCCACGCCCGAAACAGGACATTTTCGTAACCACGTGATCGGCAACGTGCTTCAAGCATTTCTTAATCTTAACTTTCTCGACGGGCTCTCCGAATTCCTGCGTTGGGTCTTTTGAAAACTTTCACTCTTCATAAATAGCAAGTGAACTTGAAAATATGTACAGTTATAATGTAACGTTGGTAGCACTTAACCGCCATTACGTCACTCGGCATTTCGTTTTGTACACAAGTAACAGGACAAAGATACCAACCTTCGAGTTGTAATTAGTAAAAATTATTGCACTCTTAAAATTTGTACCAGTCAAACTATTCTATTTTCAATCGCCGTTAAAATCTTATATCTAAATTTTACAATATTATGTCTCGTATTTCATTATCCTTTTGAAAGTTTGTTCTTATTCTTTGATGATAGCTTGTCTTCTATGAGCGTTGAGCTATTAATTGCCGACGTTTCATATGTGATTATTGCCTCCATCATTAGGGCGGTGAGATGATGGAGAGTGTATTCATCTCCGAAACGTCAGTATATTTCCACAAGACTACGGTGAAACATTTTAAAAGACAGTCATCTTCACACTCGTTGCTGTAAAAACCTTAAATACCGCCTATTTCGTTATTTATTTATGGATTTATTTTCAGTTTTAAAAATAAACTTTTAACTAAATTTACTGGTATTATAAAACTATATGTTTCTACGAAATTTATTAAAAACTTTGTAGATTACAGTGGTCATGAAAATAAAATGGAGATCAAGCTACTATTCTTTGTTCCACATACCACTGATTTGTTAGTTATTTACAACGCTGTTTCAGCTGATGAGGTTATATACACGGAGTTGCAAATATATGTTGTAAAAAGGCAAGACGATTGTGGAGTAACTGAATGTGGAACTATGACGTCGTTCAGTGGACAGACAGAGGAAGTCAGCTGAGACAGGACAGCTGGTAACTGTGTCGTGATTACGATGAAAACACTGTTAGAGCGATAGCACGGAGCACACTGTTTATATACGGTCTGTTTGCAAACAGCTGGTAACTGTGTCGTGATTACGACGAAAACACTGTTAGAGCGATAGCACAGAGCACAATGTTTATTTACGGTCTGTTTGCAGACGCTATAAAGGGATACGATTACACAGCGACGAATGTTAAGGCAAGTAATGATTAATAAATTGGGAAAATATAGGCGGAATCGGTCGTCTCATATTTAAAAGTACTTCATGGAAAATCACGAAAAATGTTGGTAAGGACAGCCGGCTCCGGGCCGAAGTTTTGACCCGGGATCTCTGAAATAAAACTGATCGGCCACGACATTCGGTATCACTGAATACAGAGGGAGGATGAAGTATTCTATTTTATCCCCGACTGTCCTACTGCGTACAGAAGAATCTGCTCTTATTTTCCATGACAAAATTAATCAGTAAATTGTTTTAGAGAAACTTTAAGATTTCTAGTAAATATAATGATCCAACCAATGACCGAGTAAAATACTGAAGTCCGTGCCCCATACACTGACTTTCGCCTAATAATTATTATGAAGCCTTAACACTTATAAATCTTTGCCTATTTCAGAAACGTGAGATCAGTTAGACACAGGGCCAGTTATTTAATTGATACATTGTACTTGTCTCGACAAATTATTGCACGTCAATAGTTCACTGATTTGTAGTATTTAGACTGAGGCTGGCGGAACTGCCCATATATTACACTATTAATATAACTGTAACTTCTCACTCATAATATTATCAACGTTAAAGTAGATAAAATGGCTAATAATCAAAATGTTAATACAAACTCAATACCCCAGTACACGCTCTACAACGGCGCAAAAGATAGCCAAGGAGAAAAACACACAACCTAGGATACCCTGAGCGATTTGACCTTCTCACGGCAGTGACGACGGCGGTGTTCTAGGTTATGACCCGGTGCAGTCGCGTAGGTATATCAAAGTTCGGTTTAAGTATACTGTCTCCATCTTCAGGCTGAATATGGCGTCTATACGGCGTCATAACGTCGTCTTTAGGATTCACTGTTTTCTAAATTTCTTATGGGCCCAATTCAAATTATATGAATTTCGGCGTATCCATAAAATATTTAGTCAGAACTAACAGCGGTCAGCTGTTCAACAACGTTAAAAGCGCATACATCTCTAGTGAATATTTACCACCCGCGGTCACTTCAAAGTCGCCCTCGGACTGCAAATGGAAATGAATTTAGAAGGTATGTGATCAACATTCGTGTGTGTTTAGCAGACCTCAACACATTTCATCCTACAGCCAGAATGAACACGTAAACACGCGTCCCATCCTCTTGAGATTTATGGCCAAATACACCGATGTATTTCAGAACACTCTCTACGTATCTCCGTGTTTCCCCCACTTAATTCAAAGTATTATTCGAGCTACCAGAGAAAGTACTTAGAATA